CCAAGTCTCGGCCTGGTAGCGGCTCAATTAAAGCTTTTAAAATTCGTAAACATTAAACACTTTGAACCACCGGTCCTGCAGTTCGAAACCGTTTAGTAAAATATCAGAGAAAGCAGATGCTTTTCCATTAACTATAAAGTTGAAATTACAAAAATAAATGTGCTTAATGAAAACTGCAATTTTGGGGGGGGGACCCTCATGTGTCTAAAGTTTTCGCAGTAGGATGAGGTGGTTTTTCACATCACACTAGTCACGTGACGAACAACTGGATATTACTACTGGCGAAAACTACGAAGAAGACGACAGGAAGTAGTTTGAGAATGAAGTTTTGTTTTTAGTTTTTTCAAACAATGTGCATCTGGCTCCACCAGAGCTCTCGTGGCATCACAGTTCATAAGACGTCGTGTGTCATGGGAACACATTGAATCCAAGGCTCTTCTGGAAAATTGACGACAATTTACCCAAATTGCTTCATACATAATGCCAACATTTCCTCAAAGGCAACCCAAGTGCCAATGAGGAGCTATCACAGTTCAAGGCGTTTGTGTTCAAAGGGGAAAAAATATATAAACCTCCAAGTTTGTGTGCTTCTCCTATCAAACCTCTGTGGAAGGAAGACGTTTGACCTTTCTCATTGTTTGTGGCCATGTGGAGGAGGCAGGTGGATTCTCCCATCTGCATGGTGACGAGACCGAGAGGAGAGCGGCGAGTGGGTGAGCGTCTGATCTCCAGCGTTTGATCTTTTTGCCTTATCGTAAGCGGACTTCAAACCAGGCGTCGTGTTGATTCTCCTGTGTGTGACAGTTTGAGGCCAAGTCAGGGAAGCTGTTGACCTAATCAAAGTCCAGAGGTCGTGCGGAAATATTTGCGTGGAGAGAAGTGCAGAAAGCTGTTTTAAGCACCAAAGCACATACCACATACAGAACATAAAGAACTTTCAAAGAAAAAAAAAAAGAGATTAAATCATTGCTCTTATTCCAGTGATTCCCTTTGAACCGCCTCTAATTGCAAAGCGCCGCGTCGGCCGAGGTAATGAGCAGCAAAATCGTTTAGGTTTTTTTTTTCAAAAGCTGTTTTTTCGTGTTGATCACAGGCACAGACTGCTAATTTGCTTCCCAAGTGCAAAAGTATCAAATTCGTCTTTTTTTTTTTTTTTGCATCAATAAATATGTTTCAAATAAGATCAGGGCTGCGCTCAAACTGCTTCTAGCATTTGAACTGGTGAGCTAAGCAGAGGAGATGCGACGCACCGTCTGCAACCGCCAAGATCTTCAGGACGTCTGAGGAAAACGCTTATTTATTCTTATCAACGCAGCATGAACGCACGACAGGATGTCACACTGTTGTCCATCAGACTTTGATTGGGTTTGATTGTCAACCTTTGGAAGAGAGACAGAGAGAGGGAGAGAAAAAAAATTACATCAGCTCTAAAGCATGTTTGGTTAAAAAAAATAAATAAAATGTGGGTGTTCATTTTCCCAAGTCATATTTTTGCTACATTTATAAATAAAGACTTCAAACCATATTTAGTTAGGTAGCAAGCTAACTAAATATTTTTCAAATAAAGTATTTAGCAAAACATAACATTTGGATTTGCTATTCAAAGTGTTTAATTTAATTTAAATTTTTTGGTTTCTAATTTTTAGTTAGCAGCCAATATTACAGTAAATATTTAGTGAGCGAAATAAAATTTGTGGCTCAATATTTAGTTATCAAAACTAAATATTTAGCTCAGACTCATATGACAGTGGCTAAAAATGTAGCTTGCTGCTTAAATATTTAATCTCAATCTGATCTCTCAGCCGGAACGTTCGATGTGTTTTCGGTTTCTTTTAGAAATGCGTGACAAGAACAAGGTTTGTCTGCAGCCCAGTGGTCAGAAATGTGTTGTTAATGCTCCCTGCAGCAAACATCTCTGATTTCTCTTTAACCTTCAGCTTAGGCAAACACAGTTCAGGTCATGCTGTCTCTTGAAAGCTTCTGGGGCATTTCTTTTTTTTATTCTTCTCACAGCTAAACCACCGACTTCTACATAATGGATACTTCTGTGTTTTTTTTTTTTTTAAGAGACTGAAGTGAAGGTGAGACGTTGACCTTAGCAGCCTGCGCTTCACCACTTCACCTCACTTACCCACCAGCAGTGAGACGTAATTCATTCAGATTTATCCAGATGCACGTTTATGCCTGCTCTGCCGGGCGGATGCGCTGCTGCATCCTGAGCAAGCCTGTCCCTGAGACCGCAAGCCCCGAGGCCACGTCTCACTTCCTCTCCCAATTTAATATAAACTCTGAGACGCGTCGGAGCGGACGTCCCCTTGTAATGTCTGTGTTAGGTATTTTCCTCGAACCTACAATAAAATAACCACAGACAACGTATATGAAATATGGTCAGGCTTCTGCAGAAGGAGAAATCCCGATCAACAGCTCCTCCGGGCTGGTCAAAAGAGAGTTCTGATCTGCTTTCACGTGAGCTCCCTCTTTATTGTCAAAGCATCAAACAACAGAGGTCGTAAAACATTTAACACAAACAGACCAACAACTCAGTTCCAGGTGTGATATCTAATTTACAATCTGAGCCCAGTTCAGCTCTGGGTCAAACTGTCACCTAAGACCGGGTAGATAAACACCAGAGAAAACTTTAGGGTCTGAGAACCATAAAGTTTTACTATCTCGCATGAAGACAGTTGTAACCTCCAGGTCAGTTTATACTAAATCACAATAACTTTAGACTGAATATAAACTAAAGTAACAACAAAATGATAATGTTAAAAAATATCTAACAGTCTGCAAACAATTCTGCATATTAGGAAAGTCAATACAAACGGGGAATTTAATTGACTCGGGAGGAAGAGGTTTGGAAAGTGGAGATAAACTTCTGCATTGAAAACACAAATTACCTAATGACTGTTATTTGAGTTAATGTGATATTTAGAGACCTGCCGTCATCATAGCCTCGCTCCGCCACTATAAAGTACTCCATGATTGCAAAATGTAAGACAAGTGATGCTTGGTTTTCAAAACTGTTTACAAATGAAAATCCTGAAACGTGTGACTTTCAGAAGCTGCACGTCTCTTCAGCTTTGGGCTTCCAGAGATTGAAACTTTTGATGAAAGGCCAAGCCATTCTTAGTCTGACTGTGTATTTAAAGGTGAACCATTATGCTTCCTTGATCAGGCTGTGATAATCTATGGGCTATACAAAACATGTTCATTGCATTTTTTGTGTGTGCAAATACACAGATAAAAACTGAGATTTGAACAGAAAACAGAAGCGCAATCATGCAACTGCACAAGTTTGAAAAGCGGAAGTTGATCCCGCTGCACAACCAATGAGAATGTAGCCAACGGTTACTAGATGGCAAGTCAACAACAAAATTCGAGTCTTTTTTCCAGCAGCCATTGTAAAACCAGATGACCAAACATGCTGTGGTTGCTAGGTGACGGGCAGTGCCTGCTGACTCGTGGTGTTTGAAACTGTTTGTTACGAATTAGAGGACTTTCAAAAGTATGCAGCTGCAGCGGATTTTGTTTAGTAAAGGGGGATGATTACTCATCCTAAATCAGGCCAATGGCCAAAGAGAGTCAGTGACGCTTGTATTCTTACACGCCATTGTTTAGCCAACAAAATCTGTAGAGAAAGGGGTGAAATAAAGAAGAAAGAGAGCCATGTTTTTCAAAGTAATGACATGCCTCTTATAACAGATCCCTGATTCAGCTACCAATGAGAATTTTCTGAACCATCCGGCGATTGAGACCTCCGCTCGTTCGTGACGGCGGTCCTCGCCCTGACGGACGACCTTCAGTATCCCGTTCTATTAACGTCCCGCGTCCCTTCTCCCCTCTCTGAGTATCTCCCGAACTCCCTGTCATTTTGGACATAAATAGGACTATAAATCTTTGATAAGGCAACAGCTGCTGGTAATAATAGCTGCACTTTTGTGTTGCTAACTTGAGATGAGCGCAGGACATTTTCCCATGAAGTTCTCCTCTGAGAGAGGTCACGGTGAGACAACCGCTCTCCGCTCAAAAAGGCCTCCTTCGTATAAAGACAGGGCAGAAGAGGCTTTTCTCCAAAGCCCTCCAGCGCTGTTTGGCCCACAGCGGTCCGCGCCGTCGTGTCCAGCACGTGCGAGGCCTGAATGGAAGCAGGGGAAGCAGGATTGGATGTGAAGATACGGCCTGTTTGCATCGATTCGTCGCTGAATCTTGCGGTCGACTTTTTCTTTTTGGCCTCGGCAAGAATCAGCGAAATGAAATATCTCAGGAATGTAAAAGAGAAGCATTCGGGCCCTTCGAGTCCAGGTACGGTACGCACTACATTGACTTTTTCAGGTATATCTCCACGAACTAGAAAATTGCCAAAAAGGTTCAATAATTCAAATTTTGCATGTATATTTGAAGGGTTTGGTTCTGTGCAATTTGACCATTGCAGCATTCAATGTGTGTTAAAGACATAATTTATTGTTTGACAAGATGCGCAGCGGGCCTCCAAACTGCAGCTAAAACAGGCACACAACATATCTGCACAATGTGTCATATTGCAATTTTGCTTGGATTCAATATTTGACCAGTTTATAAATCAATTGTCAATAACGTCTCTCCATCTTGGTGACCAAAATGAAGATTAGAACAGTGATTGTGGAGTTGTTACTCTGATTAACTCTACAACTTTGTTGTCATTTTAAGTTTTTCTAAGATGACTAACACCATCTACTAATCAAAAATATTTCACAACACAATATAAGTATAGGTGTGTGTGTTGCGATTTATATTCCAGTACAGTTTTTCCCTCCACTTAACTTTCCAATTTATAATAATATGCACTCTGCAACAGCAGTTTTCACTATGAAAGCAGAGGCCATAGTAGAATAACATTTCTGTGCCGAAACAAAATGTCATTTCTATCGGTCCATATAACTTCCAGCTGATCGTGTGTGCGCGTGTGTGCCTGTGTGTGGCTTCTTAGTCCAAATCATGACTCAAAATACCGCATACACACACACACACACACATTCACACACCAACGCACAAACGGTGACGCGTTCGGTGTTCCTGATAATCTGTCTCCGACCATCATCAACCCTCCTCTCGTCTCCTGCTCATCTCTCTGCGTCCCGCCGCTCCTCCTCAGTCTCCGCGGAGGTTCCGGCGCCAGGACACCGAGCGCACGGTTCCCTTCTTTTTCCCCTTCTCTCCTCCACACACCACCGGCGTCGCTTCTCTTTTTCAACCTCCAAGATCTGGACTTGTTTTTTTTCTTTTTTTTCTGTGCGTGTGTGTTGGGGGGGATCAATGTGTATATAGCCTATATGTATATATAAGATGACTTGAGAGATGTAGCGCGAACGGCGCGGCTCTGGGAGAAGCTGCTGAACGCGCCGTGCGTAACAGCGCGGCGCTGGGGAGGAAGCAGATGGATGGAGAGGCTGGCGGCGGGATGCGGCTTTCCGGCGGGTCGGAGCCCCGTTCGGGAGCGGCGGGGACTCGGCGCGCTCTGCCGCGGGACCAACCCGGACGGGATACAGCGAGGACGAAGCTTTCTGGTTTAAACGTAAGTCAAAAAACAAAAAAAGAAAAGACATTTCCTACGCTGCGCTCTTGATCCATTTAGGCTCCGGTCAGGTCAGTGAACTACAGTCGCGATCTCTCATTTGGTTTTTGGCACTCAGATGAATTCCAGGGTTTTTAGTGCTAAAGCTTTACATGTGAAGTTTTGCTCCTTTTTTTTTTAGTTTTTTATTTCTTTTGGTAAGAAAACAATGGCAACAAGTGTAACCTCAAAAAAAAAAAAAAAAAAAAGAAAAGAAGAAAAACTAACAAATGCAGGATATTTATCTTTACCCCAAGTTCAAGTTTCATGCTATTTAAAGCACCACTTTGAAATTCAATATTGCATTGCTGATATCTCGATATAGTGAAGGATGACCAAATGTCCCGTTGAGCTGCACGTTTCTGCTGCAGCAAGCCAAGCTGTGCAGGCTGCTTCCTCCTCATCCTCATCGTTTCTCACACAGGGTGCAGAGCAAGCTCATTATTAGACCTTCTATTTGCGGCCAGAGCAAAGCAGCGACGTGTCCTCTGTAATGACAGGGACAAGGCTTTGACCTTTCCACACCTTTCCAGAAGGTCTGAACCTCCTTCGTCCTCCCAGACATCCGAGCTCTCCGGTGTCTGCAGGGAAGCGGATGCAAACTTCACCACGGCGGCTTTCAGAAAGAGTGAGAAATAATAGTAAAATAAAACATAATTCAGAAACTTTACCCCCCCAAACCTCTTTTCTTGGTGTGTTAACTGACTGAATCATTTCTGACCCCCCGCTGCTTCAGCATTCACTGATGTCACTGTCAATTGGCAGGGAGATTGTCAGAGGGAAAAAAAATATATAATAATTCACCTGAGCTTCACCCTTTTTTTTTCAGTTTTTAATTGAGAAAATAGCGTGGACCGTTGCATTCTAATGCGGTGTAAATTCTGCTCTCAATCTTTGCTTTGAGCCGTTAAATCCACAGCTCAGATCATTGAGCTGGGTTGCTGGAGTCGCGGTTTGGCCGCAGGTTTCAGTAAGCGCGTTTTCAAGACGGCGGACCGAGATGCTGGGCTGACAGCAGGTTTCTCTGACTGTATGGAACACAGAGTAATACAAAACCCCTCCCCCTCCCCCACCTCTTGCTGCACACTGATCAGTTCAAACCTGGCTGAGTGGAAATCTGCATAAAACACTTGGTGCAGATTAACCAAACGACGACTTATGTCTCAAAGCCTTTGTATGACGGATGGTTGTCCCTTGTTCAATATTAAACTATGCTTTGGAGCCAGGGTTGCACTGATTGTGGTTTTCTGGCCGATCTTTGATGCAGATTTTGGCCGATGTTTTTTTGCCTGAAATGTGGCGAGAAAGCTGCTGACCCGGTAACAGTGGGGTGACTGCTGTTGGCTGTGAACATGCAGACGTGACCTGGTCAAACCTCGCTCACCGCAGAGCAAAAGGGGACAGTGTTTGACTTTTAGGGCATTGACAAGGCAGATGAGATCAGCTTCACATGAAAGCATGAGCCAATCATGAAGGAAATTGGGGCCGTTTTATCGGTTCACCCCTAACTCTTTATTAAGACGCTGTTTTTAAAACTATTCTGGTCAACCAATCAGTGGCTTCTCTGTGACGCAGTGGACTGCAGGGTAGTGGCTAAGCTAATATTAGCTTGTTTTACACTGTAAAAGTGAAATGGCAAAAAGGAACAAAACTTTTCGCAATACGTGCGAGAAAACTGCCCATTTATGATGCTTACTGTTACTCTTAATAATGTTGGGATTATCATAATTGTAATAATACATTTTTGATTATTTCAGTAGCAGTAGGAACAGTTGTTGTGTTCCTGTTTAAAGTCAAAGCAATGACATCGCATTGCCATGTGACAACCAAACGTTCTTTGCAAAGTGGGAATTGGAATAAAAATTACTGAATTTCAAGCTTCTTGGCAACGTTTATGTCTTAAAATGGCAAAAGAAGGGCCAGTTTTCTGACTCGCACCAGTTTGATACTTTTAACGAATGGATAAAGAGCCTTTGAAGAAAATTTAATTTTTCTTTGTTTAATCCTGGTAGTTTGTCTTTAATCTTTACTCGGATCGTTTCAAACACAAAAACCATCCCTCCAAAAATCAACTCTGAGAGCTGAGCTCATGTCGTCTGTCCCCGTCGAGACAGTCGCTGTCACCGCAGGGGGCTGACGAGAGGTGTGTGTGTGTGTGTGTGTGTGTGTGTGTGTGTGTGTGGGGGGGGTGAGTGATCCTGCCACAGTGTCAGAGCTGTTTGTCCCAGAGATCAATTGAATAAACATTCGTCTCTGGCAGCAGCGCGGTGCCCCCATCGTTCTCTTTTGCTCGGGCGAATGTATGAATGTATGCATCTGCGCAGGAGGCAGGACACACACACACACACACACCACACACACACACCACACACCCTCACACACACACACACACACAATACTCGATATGAGGTCTGTGCTAGAAAGTGAGAGGAAAATAGAAAGCCCAAAGGGACTGAGCAAAAAAAATTTGTACGTGCCGCTAAAAAGAGAGAAAGAAAAGAAAACAAGGAAAAACAATCCTGTGTGCTTATTCAGGATGTTGTTCAGTCTGTGTGCTTGTGGCTGTTTTGTTACAAACCCCTCATGTTTTCACTCCCCCTCTGTGCGTCTCGAATGCAGAAGAAAATGGCCAAAACTTATTTTTACTGCACGTCTTATGAAAACGGAAATGGCCCGTCGCCTTGTTGATGCGACTGTCTGCCCAAAAGCTTCTGAATGCTGCCTTTACAGATGACGGGAGAAAAGAAGTCAAGCCTATAGAGGGACAATACCCACTAAGGACACGTTAAGTGTTACCGAGGGTGAACGTGCGCAGCCGGTTTCATAAAGTCACGCTGTAACTGTTGCCATGGTTATTGCAAAAGTGTCATTATTTCTGGTCAAGGGATATACGCTCTAAATGTTTTTTGTCATCGCTTTTCTCTCTCCATAGATTGACTTTGCCCTGTGTACTTCCTGTGATCATTGTGGCTCCTTGAACATAAAAGTCCCCAGTCATCCCAGTCCCTAGACTCTTAGAAGACAAAGTTTCCACTTGCCTTTACCCTTGGCTGCTGTTTCTTTCCCCTCAGTTTAAAACCTTAATGAATCCTTTTAACCTCATTGTTATTCAGTGAAATCAGTACTTGGAGGCAGTGAAGTAACACCCATCACCATCCTCCATTTATGACTCCACTCTTTCATGCTAACTTCATCTTAAACCCGTAAGATTGGAGTCATGGCCCTGGATGTGTGGCCCTACATCCCACCGTCCCCCAACATCACCGTCCCCGAGCCCCTCCTGTACGACGCCTACAACCAAGAGAATGACTCGAGCGGCAACATCTCAGACCCCACAGAGCCCCATCAGGACAAGACCAGCTCGGTCGTCCTCACCTTCATCCACTTCATGGTGTGCGCCGTGGGTTTATGCGGCAACACCCTGGTGATCTACGTGATCCTGCGCTACGCCAAGATGAAGACGGTGACCAACATCTACATCCTGAACCTGGCGGTGGCGGACGTCCTGTGCATGATGAGCCTGCCGTTCATCGCCCTGCAGCTGGCGCTGGTCCGCTGGCCCTTTGGAGAAGCTCTGTGCCGGGTGATCATGACCGTAGGTGGGTGGAAAGCAGAAGGCTGATGAGTCATTGTGGACAGCGGCAGCAGCTTTTTTTAACGAAGGAGGACTTTTAGGTTTCCCCAACTGAGAAATTGTCCTCGAGTCGTTATCTGGCATGGTTGCCATAAAACAAACTGTCAATCCGTTTAGCCAGAGCTAACAATTATGTCTCTGTATTGCAGAATTTGTTGGAGAGTGTTGACCTATGAGTTATGAAAAGGTTCTATTATTTTAGCAACGCATGTGTTGACATTTTAATCCTAAGACCTTGTCTATAGCAGCTCTTTATACCGACTCTTGTAGAAAATGTTAAATACAGGTTTCCAATATCTTGAATAAATTATTTAAAGGGCCAGTATTGTTTAAAATTGATTTTTTTTCTTTTTTAGCTTTTCATTGTTTTTTTACTCCAACATCAAAAATATTTCTGCAGTGTCACCTTGATTCTTTCATGCACATTTGAGAAATCCTTTAATTTCTCCTGTATAATGCAGAATTAGACCGTTCATTTTTTTTAGGACAGGATTAAACGCTGTCCAGACTCCTACAAAACTTTAAAAGTGAGCCCTAATTTACCACCAAGCAGAATCTACAGGGCAGATGCTAACTTCAGCGTCATTACCCAGTGAGAATAAGCTAATTGCTCTATGTCCTATCCAGGCATTAGTATCTTGTCTTTCCAAGCTCAGTTTACTATCAAAAACATTAATTTTCAAGGTCAAGAAACAACTATTTCATAACTAGGACAATGGAAAACTAGACAAATAGCTAAGATAAGAGACAATAGATCTAAAAATGAGTTATAAAATGGTTTTAGGATAGTTGTGATAACTATCTTACATTGACAATATAGAATAGTCCTATGGTTGAGATGGATATCAGTTTTAATTTTACAGATCTTTTTGATCACCTTCTTTGGTGCATCTAAACTTTCCTCTTTTCGTTCCTCCACCAGATTCTCTCAATCAGTTCACCAGCATCTTCTGCCTCATGGTGATGAGCATCGATCGCTACCTGGCCGTGGTTCACCCCATTCGCTCCACCAAATGGCGGAAGCCCCGTATTGCCAAACTAATCAACGTCACAGTGTGGGGCGTCTCGCTGATAGTCAATCTACCAACGATGATCTTTAGCGGCCTGAACCAGCTGCCGGTGTGCGGCATAGTGTGGCCCGAGCCCCAGGACCTCTACTACAAGATCTTCATTTTCTACACCTTCTCCATTGGATTTTTCATGCCACTGGCAGTGATATGTCTCTGCTACCTGCTCATAATAATCAAGGTGAGGCACTGACTGTGTAAGTGTCAGATTTGATTTGTTGTGGCCTGGACAAAACAAGCTGGACAAAACCGGCGCGGAAAGTTCTCGAGGACTCAAGATTTCCTTTTGAAACCAGCTCGTATGGAATCGGCTTGGTAAATTAGCTAAACTATCAATTGTTTCGTGTTTACTTCAACTCAGCCTGGACAAAGAACTACACCAAATGGAACATTTCAAACTAGAACATTGTGTTGTTTCAAACGTCCAGTTCATGTAGCTTTTTGAGATTATATTTAACTCCTATACTAACTTTTCAGTTGTCTTATTTTCTTTTCTGGACAAGCAACCGTGCAAAAAATATTTCAGTAATGAAAATAACGTAACATAAAGGGAGTGAAATCCAGATGATCGTGATCACTGGTTATTTAACAACTAGCAGTGGTTTTCTGAGAATCAGCTGGAAATAGTTCAGAGCCCAATATGACTGAGAATCAGATCTTATTTGTCTGAACAGTAAATGTTTACTTGTGCTTCAACTTGACAAGAATATTTACTATCCAGCTGACATATTAGATGTTTACAGTTCATTTCTGATCAAGCAAGTTGAGGGAACAATTAAAGAAGGGAAATCTTTGTTTTCATATTGTTCATTTGTTCTTTCGGCATATTGTGTAATTGTAGAACGCATCCTTGAACGAAGATTGAGGTTGTAAAAAAGCCGTGTCCAATGCCTTAGAAAAAGAAAAAAAAAACTTTTTTTTTTTCCCCCAGCATTTTAAACTTATATTCCCATAAAATGTTTCTTTCAGACCACTTTAGTTGAGCCAGACAGAGTAGAACTCGGAGGGACTGTATTGGACTGGATGTTCCAGGAGGATTTAGACTGACAGTGTTTGGGTTTTTGTGGACAGTGAATTCCCCTGAGATCACTTCATCCATAAATTGGTGCCATAAAAGTAAATCTAAGATGGATGAATATCTGGAAATCCTGACCTTTGTGTTTCAGAATTAGACGCCATGTTAGAAAGTGCATCGATGTGTTGTCTTTGTAACAGTTTCAATTTGCTTTAGCTCTTAATGAATAATTGAATAACCTCTTTAAATAATGTTGTATTACTGTGAGCTACAGCAACACTTAATGTCTCTTTGGCATCCATGAAGCATTTCTGAATTGAATGAATGTGTCCGTCAGTGGATTCGCCTTGCGTTTTGGATGTCTTAAACCACTTTCCATTCTCTTCACCAGGTGAAATCGTCCGGAATACGAGTGTGTTCCTCCAAGCGAAAGCGCTCCGAGCGCAAGGTGACACGGATGGTGTCCATTGTGGTGGTGGTGTTCGTCCTCTGCTGGCTGCCTTTCTACATTTTCAATGTCACCTCCGTCACCAGCTCCATCACGCCCACCTCGGCGGTGAAGACTTCATTTGACTTCGTGGTGGCGCTGGGCTACGCCAACAGCTGCGCCAACCCCATCCTGTACGCCTTCCTGTCCGACAACTTCAAGAAGAGCTTTCAGAATGTGCTGTGCCTGAAGAAGGTGGCGGGCCTGGACGAGATAGAGCGCAGCGACAGCCGGGCCGACCGGAGCCGGATGGTCAACGAGGCAATGCTCATCAACGCCAACCTGGAGACCCACAACTCCGCTCTGCTCAACGGCGAGCTGCAGACGAGCATCTGATTGGCGAGGGAAGCGGCATCCCAAGAGGCGACGAAAGCAGTGGGGCTGCATCACGTTTGAATTGCGAGGCCACGGCGATGTTGCAATGGCAGCTCATGGACACATGAGCAAAGTCTGAGAGAAAAACAAAGGGGTTCGTAGAGTTCAGAGAAAGTGTATTGGCTCCATTTATAGACTCCTGACGACGGGGTAAATGAGGCAACCTGTTTACCTTCCGATCGACCAAAAGTACAAGAGATTTATTTTGGTTGAAATAAGAAGAGTGCTAGTGGTGCCTGTCAGATTCAGTCTTCACAGATTAAAGCAAACGGTAAGATGAGACAGACCGCTGCGGACATGGAGTGAAGAAATACAGGAGCAACGTTGCCCTGTATCGGCAATCAGGAGAGTAATCTGAATTCGATCCACAACCTCTATCGAATCACCTTCGCAAAGACGGAAATGACAAAGGAGTACTTATATTTTCTGTAGCCTTTTAGACTGAAACCGCTGCCACAGACAACAAGGGTAACTCTATACTTTATTCACGTCAGCTCATTAGTTTGGTTATTCAGAACTGAAAGGGGGAACAAAGAGGAATCCTTTTACCTCCTGATGGATTCTGTTCTCGTTTGGCTGACTTTTTATCTTTACGGACAGAGTAGCGGTGGCTCGTAAGCACCAATTCAACATCTCGGATTAATGATCAAGGATGGGAAATCGTTTCTGCTGACAGCCTAACCTTGCTTCTCCAAAACAACATGACGGTGTACATAGTGAACAGATTTAGAGGAAACTTTGCAACAAAGTGAAACTGTTGCTTCCCGTGTGTCAAGAATGAAATGGATTTTAATGGCAAGACAAACTTCTACATATTCTTGTCAACTGAAGTTGGTGGTTTGTACAGTGCAGGTCTACTTGATCCTGACTGAGTCGTCCCTTGCACCGCTGCGAAGGACCCTATATCTATTTGTACAGTGTTGTGTTTTGACAAGCTCGCTGCTTGGCGGTAAAACGTGACCCTCTGATTCCTGTTTGGTTTGGTCAGCCTATGTATGAGAGGGTGTCCAAATTTCCCAGAAGGCCGAAAAATGCGTCACGCGTTTGAGCAAGGGCGTGAGAAACGGTGGAACACAAAGGGAGATGAAGATATCTGATGAAGATAAAGTTTGAAACGGCCGAGGTGAGATGTATGAATCAAAGAGATCAGCAGAAAGTGAGGTCCTCAAATATGTGGGCGAGTGAGTAAAGCTGGATAAAAAACAGAGCTGCTAGTGTGAAGAACAAGCATTATGTAACACACACACACATATATATATATATCTGCCAGGTTATTTACCTTTTGAGACCAACGTATTTGAATTTCTTAAATTGGCATTAGCATTTTAGTATCCGTAATCTTTCAGTGTCGCCCGTACAGTCTGTGTGCTGCCGGTCTGGTGATTAGCATTGCCTCCATACCCCGGTTCCTCTATGGCGCCTCATTAGTCTCTTTACTCTGTTTTTCATTGTGTCACAAAACCCACAAAGAGAGAGGTTGGGATTGACGTGACCCTCGACAAGAGAGAAAGAGTGCGAATGAGAGAATTCCCACAAAATCGGAACGGGTCATCCAAGACGGCCAGAGGTGAGCAGAACCGAACCGCGATCCTGAAAGGTTCACGGTGACGATGAGAAGGACCGGTCCTAGAAAAACCGTGTCACACTCAAACATGAACGTGCGAGCCAGAGCGTGGTTGGACGCCTGATTGGGAATGAGCGGAAAGAAATGTGAGTAAAGTTGATACAGTGGAAAACAATATGTACACATAAAAATGATTTGCCACTTAATCCGAAGCGAGAAAAACAGACGCAAAAGTTTCAGTCAAACGACTGACCATGGGATGTTAGTTATATCTTCACTTTTCGCCAACAAATTTAATATTCCGGTGAGCTCAGAACAAAATTAAGACAACTTGGTTAGATTTGCAGGTAAACTAAAGTTTTCTGCACTATACCAGCATCTGCTGTGCCTCATATTTATTAATTGTTAATTTGTACTACATCCATAGCAGTTTGTCAGACCTTTCCCTAAAATAATCGAGTTTTAATTGAGCCTCAATCGTAGCTGGCAAATTATATCTGCTCACCAGGGGAAGATTCATCAAAAGATAAAGAAAAATAATAATAATTGAAATTCTTTGCTGTGTATCGCTTCACTCATGTTGACAGAATGAGTCCAGGAAGCAAGCACACACATGCAGGGCGATTTTTTTTTTCTCTCTTTCCAATCGTTGGGGTGGAGACGCTTCCCAAAAGCGCCTGGATGTTGGTGTCACAGCTGGGTGGCTGGGAGATTTGTCAGATATCTCAGGAGCCAGCGCGTACAAAGTCGTTAACCACGCAGATAAATCCTCTCTGAAAGCATCAACCTGCATAATCAGAACAGATGAGAAGCACAGATACATTTCTTTGTGCTCTGCTATTCATTCATTCTCTATGTTTTTCACATTATATCAACAGACCTAATAAGATGAACGATTTCTGTGGCAAACCAACAGAAAGTAGCACATCGATGTAAAATGGAAGGAAATTTTTAATTTTCTTTTTTTTTGTTGTTGTTTTGTTCCTTTGCTTATTTTTTTTCATGAATAAAAACCTGAAAAATGTGTTGTGCATTTTTATTCGACCCTCTTTGCAGAGATACTGAGCAGAACCACCTTTTCTGGATTTGCGGCTCCAGAAAAGAAACAGCTCTGGCTCAGTCAATTCAAACGTAAAGCAGTTGCTCAGCCTGCCACAGATTTTGGCTTAAACTCAGCTGTGGACTTTGACTTGACTATTCTGACACATTAATATGAACGACCCAAACCAGCCCAAAGTATCTCTGAATGTATATTTGTCCCTTTGGACCTCTCTCAACTCTTTTGCCATCAATCTTTCTACCAACTAAAAAAAAAAAAAAATCTTCTCCAGCGACATCATGATGTTGCTGGAGAAGCTCGGGGCAAATTGTAACCCCAAATTTGTTTCAAACCGCTTCAGGTTTTATTTTGTCTAGTGCACTAATGACTAATGATGCAAATTGTTTACGCAAACAATAATATTCCTCTCCTGTCATCTAATTATGCCAAATTTCCCTAAATTACATACCAAATACCTATATTTCTTCCAATCATACATGGTATGTCCAAACAATTTCTGCTACATGCAGAATCTGGCTGGCAGCGATGACAGCAGTAATGCATTTTTTATATAACTAAGTAAATTCAGGCAGGTGTGGCATTTGTGGAGGAATGGAAATTCCTCCATGAAGAGCAAATTCACGTGTCGTTGTCTTCACCACGTTTGAACATCAATCTGTGGGACGTTCCAAGTTTTGAACATCCGACTGTTTGAACCGCGGGGTTCAGAGAGCGGGAAGTTTGAACATCCCACAGTTGATCGATTTACCCTGGCTTTTCCTCAGAGGTAGCAGAGTGAAGGGGGCTGAATAGAAATTCATGTCACAATTCAGGTTTTAAGTCGTAACATGTTTGTGTGAAGGTTTTGTGTTTTTCTGTTGCGTAAAATCCCAGCAAAGGTGATAGAAAGTTTACAAAAACCCACAATCAGTAATTAAAACATGTTACTTTTCATTGAGATTCATGTATATATATATATATATATATATTTTATTTTTTTTTTTTTTCTGCAATGATGAACTGTGTTTCTTTCAGTTTCTCTTACAGTCAGTATTTTAGCTTCCTCAGTGTTCTTCATGGACTTGGCTTCTTTCATTTGCAAGTACAACTGATAAGGTGACCTTCAGCACTATTCACTGTGTGAAATATTAATCATACAGGTGAGAGAGAGAGAAAAAAATTATGTGATTCATGCATCTCCACTCGCCGTGTAGATAATGTATAAAAACTGAGCCTACAGCTGTTCAAACGAATGTCGGTACAAGAGAGTTTGTGCCAAAGCCAGCGCAAATGTAGCGCTAGAAGCACCGATTGGCTGCAATGGGAAAACCTTTACTGGCTGCTTTCTTTATCATGTTGTGAAATCAATTTTTTTTTCTTTTTTTTTAGGATTCACCACAAGTTTTGAGCGAGATGGATACCAAATGTTACAAAAAAAAAAAAAAAAGATTTGTTCAGATTTATGTATATTTGTACAGATGAGCGGAGGTTTTCCCCAGGTGAACATAAGTTAATTTGTGAAGGGCTATTGCGTGCACTCCGGAGGATGCACCGTTCAGTATAAACTGTGTTTGTCCCATCACCTGCTTTGACCCCTGCATGGAGGAAGGCTGGAGCCACACGCGTTGGCGTTCTGCGAAAGTTCAGCACCTTTGAACTCTTAAAATCTTTCCTGCAATACAACAGAATTTCTTAGCGTCTTCATGAGACGCGAGCCCGGATCGGTGGATTGCAGAGGCTAAAGCTGACGGCTAGTCCGGTGTAAAACCAGGCCGTGGCGGCAGGGGGCAAATTCTGTTTATGTGGGAGGACATTTTTACCAAAGGAAATGGAGGTTGGATGCTGTGCGCCGCCAACAGTCCGCCTGTTTGAAACAAGTGCTGAAAATGGACCATTCCAAGGGTTTCAGGTCAAAACAACTAGCTTTTAATTACATCATCATATTAACAGTAATACTTTCTGTTTTTTTCTTTATTTTTGTGTCAGACTGAGTGATTTGCATGTTTTTAAGCGTCTCACACTGGAAGGTCATTGGAGGTGAAGCTCCTTTTCCCTTTTCAGTTGCTGCTGACAAAGTTGGAGTGGAAAGAGAACACAGCGACTTTCCATCGGAAACATCACAATTAATAAAATATAGCATTCGCAGGAAGGACGTTTGTTGTTTTGGAGATCGGAGAAGCAGATTTATATTCTTTTAGCTTCAGCCTCTGGAACCAAAGATTTGAACTAAAAGAAGACTCAAGTTTTTTGTTGTTTTTTTTTAACTGCAGGAAAGATGTTAATGGCTTTTACCTTTTAGAAACGACTCTGCCTCAGACGTCCTGACCCGTCCCCTGAGCCGTCGCCTCGCATTTCAGAACCGGTCCAGTCGTGCGGCTTTTTGAAACGCCAACCTTCAGCGTAGGGCGAGTGGCTCCAAGGTGTTTGCTCCCAGTGGTGTACAGCTGTGAACGTGTGCTTTTTAATCGTGCTGTTACTTTTTCTCTATGTGCCTTGACACTTCATATTGTCTAAAACTCATGTGATGACGGCATTGCAGAGCGTTTTTTTTTTTTCCTCAAAAAAGAAAAAAAAAACCTAACCGACCAAAGGTCTTTGTACTCTACAGACAGGTTGGCAATGTAACCATAACAGAGAACTGTCAGATATCTTTTTTTGTTAATATTATATACCCAGCTCACATTGCTTATGTTTAAAGCCAATGTTTTTTTGTGACTCTTTATTGTATTGTAATGTGATCAGCGATTGTAAACGGACGGGTCAGTGTTCTTGTCTCTGCAATTAAAGCGCAGCCTGTGGTCCAGCTGCCGTGTCTGTGCGTCAGTGAGTGAGTGGCGCGTCGACTGTGTGGACAAATGTTGCTCTTTGCGATTGCTTTGGCTTTTCTTAGAACGTTTCAGCAGCGGCAGCTCAGAGGGGCCCGCCGGGAATAGAGTCCCTGGTGGAATTTGAAGTTTCTTCTTGAACAAATAAAAACGTCGAGCGGATAAACTCCTCCCAGCAGACATGGGACCAAATGTTACAAAAAAGGGACCGGGAATTCCTCAAGGGGGCTCCAACAATTGACGTGATTGAGAGAAAATCTACAAGTGGAATGAAGAGAAAACACTGAAAGGGGGGGAAAAAACAAAAAACCCTCTGAGCTAGACAGAGGGTTGGGTTGGGTTGGGTTCTTTCAGCAGAGAGGTCAGTGAACTGTCACATATTCAAAACGCTGCAGCAGATTCAGTTTCGGGTTAATGCAAAGCAGCCACTGGTACGTTCGCAAGCTAACGGTGACATGGGATATTTCTGCTAGAGTTCTGGGTGACATTACAGATAATAACCACAAAACAAAACCAAACAAAAAAAAAAAGGCAAAGTTACATCAGTAATTATTTCCACAACTTCAGCTGGAGTAGGTCGTGTGTTAACGATGCGGTTTCCTCTCGCTGTTGCTCCTTCCGTGAACCATTTTCCTGTTAATGGCCACTTACCACTGCAGCACACAGCAGCAGCGGCAGCAGCCATTACGGTCATCCTCTGACCCAGTCGTCTAGTCGTCACAGTTCACTTCCAACTCACTTACATAGTTTTTGTTCTGCTGATATCTCTCTGTTGCTGACTCCAGGGACTCGGTGTTCTCCAGCTCCCTTCAGGATCCCTGTTATGATGAGAACAGCAAGATGTGATTTTTTTTTTTTAAAGAGGGAGAAAAATGAGTCAGTCTTAGCGAAGCTTTTATTTTTAATTTCTGCATCTTAAAAATGCCTGAAACAGTCTGTTGTCATTGTAAAGGAATGGCTCTGTGTCTTTTCAGCAGGATAGCTCACCTGCAGGCGACGCGACGTAATAAAACACTTAAAAATGCTCAATATTCATTTGGTTTTTATTTTTTGCTAAATTACATCAAAAGTCTCTTCCAATGTCTTATCTTTCGAGTGTCTAAGAGAATGTTGTGCATCTCAAAATGAAATCCAGCATACATTTGTAAAGGGTTTTATTTACTGTTTGGATCTTTTTCCTGCACTTGACAGAAATTGCTTGATTTTAGGACATTAGTCAAAACAAATGCGCCAATTCTTTTGTCTCACACGTCTGCGGTTATTTACGACCTCTCATTACAGCTAAATCTAAAATGACTCATTTTAGACAAGCAGGTATGACTGGGGTCGCGGATGCTTAAATTTGATGCATTGTATTTTTTGCATTTTTTTTTTTTTGAGAAAAAGATGCATTTCTTGTTTAAATTAAATCTCTAAACATAAATCTGCCACGGCTATGATTACATTTTTGTCCTGACTGTACTGTAAATGAATAATATTCCATATTCCACAAAAAAATCCACCACGTTTCGCTTTTTGTTCATCGTGATTATTTTTGTTTAAAATTTTTTTTAAAGGTTAATCTGACTCTGCGGCCTCCGTCTCAAACCTCCCACACTTGAGAGAGAACCACTTGCGACAGCGTTCCCTCACATCATCACTCCTCATTCGCTCTCCCGCCCGAGTCGCCTCCGTGTGAGTCACGAGTGGAAGTGCGGCGCCGATCCGAGGATTCACTTCCACTGTGAAGACATTGTATTCTGTAATGGACGCCGTGCTGGGGAGAGTTTTGCTGTCGCCTTGGCAGGCGAGAGGACGGATGCAAATGCACAGAGGGGAAAATTTTTTTAAAAAATTCAAAAAAAAGAACTTTCCAGACTGACACCGGCCTGTCACATAGGGCGTTATGCGGCTCTCTTCTTTTTGAATGTCAACATAAAAATGTCAGCTAACTCCGACAGTTCCGTTGTTTCGGGTTAGAGCCGGTTCTGGAGCTTCAGGGAGATATGGTTAAGCCTCCGAGTGTGACCTTTTCAAAAAAGCAAATGGAAAAGTGACCAATCAAAGCGAAAAAAATAAAAAAGTCTTTTGAGATGGGCTTGGGATGCCTAATGCATCCGTCTGTCTCGCTGAGAAACTGCAAAGGCAGCTACTCAACAGAACGGGGAAAAAGTACCAGGCATTTGACACCTGAGGGTGTTTAAAATGAATTCTAAAATCAAAATCCCTTCCAGATACATTTGCACCAAGGCACATTCCTTCATTTGAGCGTTCCTCAAACAAAGTTTGTCATTTTTGAGAGGTCATAGGTCAACTGACGCCGGCGCTTCCAGGTGAATCGCTCCAAACGCAAAGTCCTGCATGAACCCGGTGGAGTAAAACTGATTTGAGGAAACATAGATGTGACCCCTGAACAGACCGCCTGCCTTTTTAATGAAATGTATGACACAAGCAAGACAAACATTTGCTTACATTTAACTTTCTATGACATCGCAGCAGGCCAGGTTTTCTTTGGGGGCGTCGTAGCTTGGCTATGCTAATCAGCGTCTCCCGGTTGTGAAAATAATGTTGTTACCAAAGTTACACATCATAATAACTGTCCAAAAAAAAATTATCCTTCCACCTGCACAGCATCCAAACCCAGAGGGAATAAACGTCCAAACGTGCAACCGAAAAAACTGTGAAAAAAAATTCGTATAAATCTTTAACAAACTTGAAGTGTGACGTCACATACATTTTATTGACATTCACACATAAACATTCACAGGAAAATCGACTCTTCAAACAGTGACCACATTGTTGCACTGATATTACTGCTATTTCACTGAGTTCACCTGTTTATGGTACATGTCCATTTGTGTCGTTGCGTTTAAAACCACATGACACAAATATGGAAAGATGCTCCACGCCTGAGGTCTCACCTTTCATCGTGTTAACGACAAAAGTCGGGAACTTTATCCACATCATCTATTCGTCTGTGGGAAAATGTGTCATATGTGGTGCATTTACAGGTAGAAGGTTTACCACTGGGTAACATAAACTACCAGACTTTAGACGTCCACAGTCCTGAAGGGCCACATTCTGTCTCCGGGTGGAAATCTCGGCCAGCAGTTAACGACATGTTCAATGCACACTCACGTCCTTTGGACATGGGTGTACGGTTGTCGACGTGAACTCTTAATAAAGCGCTTCTCATTCACGCCACACTGACACCTTCATCGTCAATATTCTGTCACAGCTGGTGTTAGGAAAACCTCCGTTCTTCATCTTCACTGCAGAATATCCCTGTAAGATTAAGAGCTTTATGAAGAGCAAAATGTAAACCAATTCAACCTCTGACTAGAATACTGAAGGTCTGGTTGAATTTCACTCTGCGCTCCATCACCATCTAGTGGCCATATTCAGGACTGCAATAGAAATGCCTTTATGAGACATAAACGGAGTTTAAAAAAAAAAAAAACTTGTAGCAACCAAATACCTAAAGAAATGGCAAAAAAAAAAATCAAATCAAATATATGGATACAAGAAATTCACTACAAACAGCTGGAGTTGCAACTAAACCTTGTTCTCTGGTTTCGTGTGTGCGGGTTCCTCTTCCTTTTTCAGAGTTCAAGTGGCCATCTGCTGCGTCTAATCTGGGCCAGCACAAGTCTCTGTGGACGCTCGGCTGGTTTGAAGGTGTGATTGAAACGAACACCTTCCGATTCCTCAGGTTCCACACCAACAGGCAGGACATTTCCAGCACGTTTCACGGCACAAACAGGGCGGCCATTTTGCGTTGTCGATCAGCTCTTTCAAAAGACAACTTAAGTATTAGAATTGTTTTGTTTTTTTAAATAAGATAATTCTTATTTACTAGAATAAATACTCTATAAAGTAAGAATATAGAGTAGTTAAATTGACCTAGACAGGACACGTGACACGCTTTAAAACGTGCATATTACGTTTCTTTAGAGAGAAACGTAATATGCACCACTGTAGGTAGTTTTTCTAGTTAATGTTCTCCCTGCACAGGACGACAGTCTTTGGCTTGTGGCCGTGTTTTTGCAGGTTTGCAGTCGGGCCACATACTCTTTTAAAAATTTTGAAATATGGTTTTGCACCGCTCTCCATGAGACGCTCCAAGTTTGGGGGAATTGCTTCACACCGACTTTCCTTTTGTTTGTACGCGGCTGAAACAAACCCCACGCAGGTGGACCAAAAAAAAAAAAAACATTCGAAAACAAATGGCAGTAAAAGTACACACTTTTCTCATTTCTCAGCGGAACTAGATAGGTGCATCTCAGGACACAACTAACACCTTTTGATCATTTGCAACTGCACAGTTTCCGTTCGGCCCGACCAGCTGCAGCGGTGAAGCAGACTGAGAAAATCTCCGTTGGACACCTGGTCGGGTTTGTTCCTCTCCGATGTCACTCGACGAGGAACAAACCCGACCTGCTCCTTAAGTTGGGGGCTGTTTGATTTCATCCTGTCAATTTTGATGCATCTCTATTAGTGCTTTTGTCTCGTTATATTGGGCAAAATGCTGAAACAGAACAAGAAAAAAATAACCGGTTCTGTAATATTGAGCCACGAAGTCATTAACTGCTAAGACTGAAGTTTTTCTGTCCTGGTTTACTTACTGGATTAACCGAATCCAGATGATGTTGAGGAAGGCTTGCTTATGTGGAAATTCAAAGAAAATGAAGTGTGAAACAGTGTGAGTCACACAAACGCACATGGTAAAGAAACATGGGGATTTGAAGTAAAAAGTCAAAGGTCAACAGTTTGAAAGCGAAATTTGATTTTTGAAATTTTTTTTGGCGGGGGGGCAGAGAAAAACATAGAATTACAAATTTTGAGTACGTTCATTCAGTAAAGGTTCATAAAACAAAGCTGGAAAAATCTGAACTGAGACCAGAGATAAAATCAAAGTTTCTCCTTGGTGGACGACAAACAGCGGAAATGCTTGACGCCGGATTCAGACACTGACGTCGCGAAACCACGTTTCCTCGCCCGCGTTTCTCTCAGCTGCCAGAAATGCTCCGAAGTTCACTGGTGCTTGTCAGCAGAGTCATTGCAGCCGCTTCATTTTACTGCACAACTGAGCTCAACCGCGTCGCTTCTCCTTTTTTTTTTCTGTTTTCTTTCAAACACATGCAAGTCTGATGACTCACAGAATTGATCAATAAGCCCTCGATGAAAAATATAAAAAATCCCAAAAGGTCACCCAAATTTTAACATAAAATAACTGTAGTTACTAATAAAAATTTAATTGCAGCTCTAAACAACCGGCAATGAGGCTTCTCCATCACTATGGAGGGATTTGGCCCAGTCTTATTTGCAGAATTGGTTGAATTGATCCACATGGTTTTGCCTGATCAGATTTAAACATGACTTGTGACAAAACCGGAGCAAAACCCGTTTAGAGGTTTTGTTCCGGTGTGCTTTGGATCGACGTCTTGCCGAAAAACCCGAGGAGAGGTCGCAAACGGACCGGGGGTCACGCCGGCTTGGAAAGCTTTCTTCCTTGAAAAGGTGAAATCAGCATTTTAAAGCAAAGAAGAAAAACTAGAGCAGGAATGTGAGAGGGCAAATGATTGTTCAGCTGCATTCTGGCGTCAGATGAAGTTTGAGCTCATTTCTCCAGAATTGCTCACGCAGCAGCTACTTATGCAAAGCAATTAGTGCCGGCTCTAATTGCAGTAATTACGCCAATCACACTCCAGTGACAAAATTCAAACAAAAATATCAGAACGCTTCATTAATCTCTCTTTTATTATTATTATTGAAACTGTTGCAGTCTTTTCCTGATTCATTATCATGTCATTCATACTAATTCAAACATTTCCACGGCTCTCTGTTTTGTCCTTTGTTGACCCCCCCTCCAACCTTTAGGCCGGCAACCTGATTTCTTGAACTCTGCGTCTGATTGGCTGTTTTGACCCCGACTCCTCAGAGCGGAGCAGCTGATTTATTCAAACAAGCGGATCGAAAGTCACGCACAAACACAAAAATCCTCAACAAAGGTGTAGAGTTAAAAGCCGCCTGAAATTCCTGTTCATATTGCACCTTTTGTTCATTATTCAGTAACATGGTTGTGTTCTGTAAGGCATGGTGATCATAAAGGAGCCATTTGAAGATTCTGCACTCAATCCAGTCCCAAAATAAAATGGATTAATTTGTATTTTTGTAAGTTGAAGTCCTTGAAAAAAGTTAGTTATTAAGTAACTGCTTCGTTATCTTGCAATTTGCCACATACCTCAGCTGCTGAAATGCCTTTATATATATATAGGCTATACATATATATATAGATCTTTGGATTTTAGACTTGCAAATCAAATGCAATACTTTTCATTTAGTATTTAAGACACACTACAAAGTTACATGATAAGTCCTAACTATATACAGACTTTGTGGGGGGTCTTACCTCTGTGTGTGAGTGTTAAGAGGTGGTGGTGGGGTTCGGGGTCCTCCAGACACACAGAGGGGGAAGTCCCCCACCAAACAGCGACATCATATCCAAATGAGCTTCCATGCAGAAAAACAGGAGTGTTTCTCTCACGCCGTTGTCTTCAAAAACAGATCCTCCCTTCGTCTCACAAGGTAAGTGATCTCTGCTGGAATATCTATTTTCTTTTGGCATTTTTGAATAAGCTGAACGCTTGCATAGGAAGTTTGAATATAATCCGTCGAGTGGCTCAGTTCTTTCTGTTTCTGAAGTTGAGTTTACACAGAAACAAACAAGAGGTGTTTGTGTTTTTTTTTGGCCATCGACACGTTTAAAGTAGTCGCAGGCTTGGTGCTTGGTAAATCCGAGAAAGAAAAAAAAAACAGAAAAAGAAACACTACAGGCTGCTGGTTGCTGGGGTGTGACAGGCGTACACAAGAATAAATCGGGCCCGCAGCCCTGAGCGAGAAGGTGGCCGCAGGCGGAGGAGACCTGTGAGCTTTTCACACTCCGCTGCTTCGCTGCTCGCTGGAGCAGAGAGAGAACAAGAAGATACAAACTGTAAAGAGACAAATGCGTTTGAGCTCAAGCCAAGCTGAGATGTTGGTAATTACGTTTTTGTTCTTTTTCTCTTTTTTTTTTCTTTTTACGACGAGGGGGGAAAAAAAGAAATCACTCTAACTTTTGCCACGTTTGCTCAGAAAGAGCCTCAAAAGGCCAGAAGAAGAAGCGCTGGTTATAACAGCAGAAACAAAAAAACAACTCAGCTGAAACTCTAAGTACAAATAACGTACGCAAATAATATAATATGCGACTGGCATGGGTATATATATATTTATATATAAGTTCAAACGGATAGCCTGAATTAACTTTTGTTCTGAACAGGCCATAGTTTGAATTTTAAAGTCCAGTCTGACCCCCAGCTATTTTCAACTAAATGCTCAAGTTTCACTCTGAAAGAAAAGATGACATCCAGGTGGGGTTTTTGGGAAAGTAGAAGACAATTTCCAAATGAAACTACATGACTCAAGTGTTTAGATTTATCTCCACAAATTTCGACTCAAAAACCGAGAAGCATTCATAGCTACCTGCGACAGAATAGAGCCAGCTGGAAAAATACAATCACGGCGTCATCTGCATAAAGCGTCACTTTGGCTGCAGATATATTCCTTCCAATATTCTTTTTTTTTTTTTTTTTTTAAAGCGTATAAAATTCTTACTGCTATACAATGCTTATATCAGAATCAAAGATCTGAGCAACAGTTGGAAGTTTCTTAAATTATGAACAAGCTCCTTGAATAACAGGAGCTGGACATGTGGAAGCTTTTGACATTTTGCCATGTTAAGACCACAAAGTCTTAATGGGAGAGTGATAAAGTAAGAAGACTTAGCAAAAAACTAAATCTAATCCTGTGACATATCAAAGGCTCGATCAGTTATTAGAGACCATTCGCCGGCCTCTTTGACTATTTAAAAGTGTGCTTCTGTTTCACATGGGCGTCTGCTCTGTGTGGGTGTGTGTTCTTTTCAGAGTGACGGCCTCTGGGGGGCGATGGATAAAAGATGCAAAGAGGGTGAGCTGCCAGACACCTTGACCAGATCATGTGTGCCCTGTCGCAGATTATGTCAGCGACTGCCTGCATCCCCAAGCTGTGCCGTTTACTGTGGTGAGCAAAGTACTCTGTCATTTTCTGATTTTTTTGGGAGGGGTGGGAAAGACATTTTGAAAACACATTATTTCTTTCTTCCACTTCAGTTATTTTCTGTGCTGTCTATGGCCTGCAGTTGAATCCAGAAGTTTACACACATTGAGTAGCAATACGCCACCTTTTTCTTTTTTTTCTCGCCGCCCAAAACTGAGATCGGACCAAAATGATGTCAGCTTGATTACAGCCTCTTTGAATGACGAGGGGGAATCCCAAAATGCTTTGAGTCAAATCAGTCAGTTGCTAACAAATACTGAGGGAATGTATGCAAACTTCTAATCTTAAAGTCAACTTTGACATGTTCTTTCAATCATTATTGTGACGTTTACCAAATAAAAATTTTGGTAATTCCGACTGACCTAAATCAAGAGAAATTTGGTGCAGAGATATTGAGGGGGGGAGGGAAAGAGGAACTGTTACTTTTTTATCCTGTGTATGTAAACTTATGGTCACAAGTGAAAGATCCCACGGAGATGCCACATTGAAGGTCGCACTTGCTGATATTACAAAAATGATAAATGTTAAGGGTCCAAAGTCTTGTTTTTCTAACTCCTTTCACTTTTCTTTCCCGAAGAGCCGGCACTCTGCCAGGCTAAGGCCGGCCACTACTACGACAGGCTGCTGAGGAGATGCATGAAGTGTGCAGATATTTGTGGCAAACATCCAGCAGAGTGCTCCCCACACTGCCCGAGTAAGTACCACTCTGCCAGGGATTCCAGTTTTGACATGAATGCCAGATTTGCAGCAGAGAATTCGAGAAAAATTCCAGGCAGAAAAAAATTAGAAAGTCACAGCCTCGCCTTCGACTTTCTACGCAATTCCACTCGATTCCGGTCTCTCTTCAGTACTGAGAATTTCTCCCGCTGAGCTTGATTTTTCTAGTTGAATTTCAAATGGGCCAATTAGCAAACAGGAGGAAGAGTTTGCAACAATGACCTTGATTTTTGTGGTTTTAAAAATTGTTGTCTGTCTATATTGGGTTGTAGTTTAGGTAATGGCAGCAGAGGAAGTGAACACAGCCATTCAGTTGGTGTTGGCCAATTAAAGTCAGAGCAACAGGAACATTTGACATTACATATAAGATGTGGCCGTATTCAGTGGGTTGATTACAATGCAACCCACCGTATATAGCTTCATATATAGCTCTATGAAGCTCTATGAATCTCTATCCGATAAGCTTCATAGACCAGACTCAATACATAAGTCACGGTCAAACATTAGCGATTGGCCAAAATTAGATCCAGTCGATTCAAACTTCAACCGAGTCCATGTTTCCAGCAAGCAATCCTTTCTCAAAAGTCGAGGATCCAGCGCCTGTGTATGAAGCAAAGCACAGAACAAGTCCAGCAGCAGTAGCAGGCATTTAAGACTCGACAACACTGAGAGCCGTCAGGAAGATGTTCTTTTTGTTTCCTCCTTCAGCTCAGTCACCTCTGACGCCGACCAAAAGACTCCCTTCTGAAGTTAGCAAACAGGCTGTTACCACCAACCCACCACTAGGATCTTTGGATCCTGCCATGCAATTGTACGCCCTCCTAGGTTTATGCACAATACTGCTGGTTTCCAGCCTGTGTCTTGCCTTGGTTGTGTTTCTGAGGAGAGGAAAGGCCAAAAACTCAAACACCAAACCCACAAGCACCAAAAACCAGAAGCAGACAAGTGCTGTTCAGCCAGGACAGGAGTCCGGCTTTCCAGAAAGTCAGACCGGAAGAAGCCTCAAAGGTTGGTGTGGTAGAAACCCAACAGACCCGATTGATGTAGTTACATTTCCTGAAATATCGTTTCTGTCTTTTCCAGATTGTCCGCCCAGCTCAACCTATCCCCCCTGCCGTGAGTCATCAGAGGACTCCTACCCAACAGAGACCTGCGTGTGTGTCCACTGTTTCCCTGACCTGAGGGGGCTCAGCCAGGACAGCAACAGACAGCAGAGGCCTTCCTATTCATTCTACCAGCAGGGCATCCTTCATAGAGCCAACATCCAAAACGGGGGCTCCCTGTGGATGGGGAGCAGCCTGAGCGCTTCGGGTCCAAAGGCCCAGCAGGAGGCAGCAGTGGGATGAGGTCCGTCTGCAAAACTAGAGCGGGAGGATTTCTCCTTGGGATATCGGAGACTACTTGTTAATGCACAGTTGACTGATGAGGTAGTGCTCAGTGGTAAAACGCAGAACTTTGTTGGCAACCTGCAACGTTTTAGGCCTAACAAGCAACCATTATACTAAGATCTAATTAGGTCGGACACATGAAACTAACTTTCAGGGACACTTTTACCTCATGTTTCTCAATACGTGACGTCTGTTATGAAATTCTTCTGTATAGTTTCTCCATGATGACACTTAAAATGCAGTCGAGGAGCAACAAGGCAGCTCTGGTTGCACTGGCTTGCAGGGACGTAAAATGCCATCACATCTTGTCACGTTACAAACACAGCCTTAATAGATTTTATTAAGAATTTTGTGGCCAACCAACAAAAATGAGTAATTAGTGAAGTGAGGGTAACGTGACAAATTGTGGGGATATTGCTTCTGTAAAGATTCACTTGCTATCATCCAGTTTGCTTTCAGCGGTCCGACTCTATGTAAAATGCTTTGCTACATTTTCATTGGCGTCTGCTTGTCTGCCTGAGAAAACGAAACATGACAAATAAAGAGAATCCCACCGAAAGGTAAAGTGAGCCGAAGTACTTGACCACCAAGAGCAGGTGTAAAGGTCAAAGGTTCCTGCAGTCATTTCTAAAAAAAAAAAAAAAAAAAAAAAAGACTCAAAGCAGAATACCTACAGCTTCTAAAGCCGTCTTGGGAAAAACGGTGTTGGGAATTCTGAGTGACCACAGAAGCTGATCAGTGGTCGAGTGATAAATCAATGTGATATGCAAACCCTCGATTGGTTTTTTTTATTATTAAATACAAATCACAAGGTCTCAGTAAGAGGGCATGAAGCTGTCTGAAGCGGGAGCACAAGGAAGGAACATTGTAGAGGTTATAAAAGTGTCAACAAACCGAATAAACATGTTGGTTTTATGGAGCAACCTCAAGGCCAACATCTTGACTCTGATCTGGAGTCAAAAAGTCAAGCAACGCTTCCGGACCCCAGATTTAAATCACTTACAAATACAAAGATGCACTTGAAAAATAATTTTTCTTAAAATAAGAAAATAAAGATGTTGCCTAAAATGCAATAGTATAGTTTTATAGTGTACGTTTGATCGCTTGCAACTATGCGGCTAAAAACAGCATTTCTAACGCCAATATGAGTATATTGATATGGAGTAACGGATTGATAATTGAGTAGCAAAAAACAAAAGTCCTTCATAGTTTTCTATTTTGTGGGGGTTTGTAAACAGATTTTGAAGCAGGTGAAGCTAGAAATAGGCCACTTGAGTTCTGGGTACAATAAATTTAAAAAAATGTATATCTTAGATGAAAAATGTGTACTGTTGTATAAATACTGCTGTTTTTTTTTCAGCAAATGGCCTGCTACATTTCAGTTTACTAAATCAGCTTATTTCAATGACTGATTCCCAGCTGACGTGAAGCCATCTGTCAATCATTCTAGTGGCGGTTTCTGACATGGGCACCATGGGGGGGAACCGCCCAGGGCGGCATGTTGTGAGGGACGTGGTGGGGCATGATGTCATGTTTGCCGCTGTGAAAGTGCGCATACTGAATGTTTGGTGTGTACAACAACAAAAATACAGAAATCAAACAAAAAAATGATTTTCCCAGATAGTTTATTTGAGTGTTTCCATCACTCTGGCCAGTTTTTGCAGCAATAACAACTGTGTGTGTGTGTGTGTGTGTGTGTATGGGACAGCTGCTGAGCTCAGTCAGGACAGTTTCCCCGGCTTCCGTCGGCTTTTGAATTTTCACCTGTTGTCTCGTACGTACAAACTGTAGACACTTTTACGCACATCATATCATCATCATCATCATGTGAGCAGAAGAGAAAGAAAATTTTAAAACATATCAAACTGTGATACCAGCTTAGACAGCATGCTGAATGCAAGTACTGATTCAGTACACAAACGTACAGTGCATACGCACGACACACGTGCATACAAACAAGATCTCACACGTCTTTTTCTTTTCTCTTTACACAGAACACATTTTATACAAACATCTCCTCTACGCTTTTTGAGTTTCTCCCTCTTTCGTAGACGGAAACGGACGGCTCAGTCGGAGCGGCGTGCGGCTGACGGGTCAACGCTGCGGCTTTTGACCCTTCACACAGACTCGATCTTCTTTGTCTTCCATTCGTTTCGCTTTAGGACTTTTACCTGAAACAGCAACACGACAACATGCCGTCGACGCGGGGAGGGGGAAAAAAAAAAAAGTCACAGAAAACCAACGAACAAAAAAACCTATTGGCATTCCGTGTCGAGATCGTCATAAATTTATATTTTACTGCAGTAAATAACCTCACAAAAACTGTACATTTATGCAGAATAATGTTGATTTTTTTTAAAAAAAGAGACAACTATTCATATCCTGAAGGAATTTTTTTTATATCTGTTTTACTTTAAAAAAAAAAAAGTTAAAGTAAACACAGGAAGGTCAGCTTTCTTTTATTCTGGCCACACTACGTACAAGGACACTGATTGGCCCCCCAACAGGAAGGTAAAAGAGAAAAGTGTCCATTGCAACCATAAAGACACCGTCTACATGCCAACCAGTTGTCAAACCTACTGCAACTGGTGTGGAGGGAAAAAAGAAAAAAAGAATGAATTTGTGTTAAAGCTCCTCCTAAAGTGGAGGAACCCAGACAGAGGAGCCACCGATACGACTTCAAATAGAAAAATACTGTAGCAGCTAAAGATGAAAACACACCATGGCTGAAGCGGAGCGTCCTACACACTCATGTCTTGGCATTAACACACAATCGGACGGTTTGAGCTGAAGCGTGCCAAGACGGGGGTGACTGAAATAAGACAATGATTTCACAAAAAATTGGACTCTTCTTAATTTTGTCGGGGTGAGATTATTGTAATGCAATAAAAGAGAAATTTATCGGTTTTTACACCAGCTAAGCCGGCGGTGCCAATAACTGTTGAGCACTAGATGAAGAAAAACAAACAAAAATACGGCAATAGCAGCAGCTTCACAAAAATCATTAGCATCTTTTTGTCTTCTGTGCACAAAAACATGATTGACGACACGATTCAACAGACGAATAATGCATTTTGTTTTTCTTTTGTCAAAGAGAATGCAAAACCGTAAACAAACCATTCGAATGCAAGATGTATAAAAATATATTTACTGGGTCATTTCCCCTCTTTAACAATGGAAGCCTTTTTTTTTTATTAATAATAATAATAATAATAGTACCACTACAACAATCTGACAAATAATAATTGTGGAATAATGTTAGAATACTGTCAGATGATGGTCTTCCATTATTCCCAACTCTGGATAGAAACTGCATAATAAGACAAACTTCCGTGCTGAAAATATTTGGTCTTGCAGAGGATGTATGCGCTCGTGTCCGGAAACGTTGCCTGTGATGAATGCGGCTGTGCAAGCACGAAGACGGAAGAGGGGTTTGAAAAAAAAAAAAAAAAACAGAAAAAGAAAAAAAAAAATCTAAAACTTCCCGGAGTTTTACGTCGTGATCAACAGAAAAAAAAATGTCGGGATAAGACACCAACTGTCCATGATCTGAAAAGCAAGAGCAGACTTTCACAGCTTCTTTTTCCCTCCTTATGTCCTGAATTCAAGTGATGACTTCAGCAAGAACACAAATGTCTGTATTTCTAGCGGTTTTGCACGAGTCATTTTTAATGGGTTTCGTCCCTGCAGCAGGGTCTTGCTGCTGCGTGGAGGAACGGTGGTTCTGCGTTTTCAGCCAGTCTGGCGTTCCTCGTCTCCATGCCTCTCCCTTACACACTCGTCACCTTCTCCTGATTGGGTTCCTCCCGGAGGTTATTCGTACTCCAGGAACTGTTTGTGATAAAACAAGAGGTACCTGAGGAGAGGAGAGGAGCGTGGGGTCAGAACCAAGCCTCGTCTTAACGGTGGAGCCCGGATGAGGTCCGCTTACCCTTCACTATCGAGCACATCTTTGATGCTGGCCTTGGTGATGATGGCGTCGTCGCACTTGAACCACTGGTCTTTGTGCTGCCGGATGAAGGTGGTGTAATGGCCGCTCTCTAGTGTCCCCTGGTGGTTCACCACGGCAAATAAACTGTACCTGGAACGAGGGAGGGGAAAAGAACGACAAATATCAACTCTCTCAAAATTAGAAAATTTGATCAAACAGAGACACGGGCAAGAATTAAGCTACGTTAATTCTAGAGCTGTTTTTGTTATTTTCAATCAAAAGCAGCTCTAAACAAATGAGGGCTTAGGCTTCAGTTCAAAGAATTCTGGAAGGTTTTCTGGACGTTTGTCCCAGATGAGAGGAGCACAAAAACTCCATGTTTGGTTCTGACTCTGGAGTCGATTTGAGAGGTCTGGAAGCTTGGTACAAAAACATCAACGGATCTTTAATGGGCAACATTCTACATTCTGCAGCCGTCTGATTGTTTTTTTATTTAGGCAGACCTTTTACAAAACGTCAGGGGAAAAGTGAGAAGTTGCTTATTTTCACTACAGAAACCAGGCTTGTGTCCATTGGTGTAAAGCTTACTTGTTGTCATTGTTGAACGCCTCCACGGTCTGCTGGTACTGCCCGTTCATCCTGCTCTCCTTACTGAAACAAACACAAAAACACAGATAAATCAATCCATGCGTCACATTCAAGTTACAAATAATGCGTGGGCCGCATGAGTGAACACATCAGACTGAAAGTGTGAAGGATGCGAGGTCCAGCCTCAAACGGGGAACCAATTACAATTTTTCTCAATCAGGTCAGGATTTTATTCTAAATTGATTTAGAGAAAATCAATCTTCTGACTAAATTGATGACATTAATCAGTTCATGTCCTATTATATTTCTCAACCAATAAAAGGTTTTAGGAGAAAAAAATTTTTTTTTTCTAACAGATTGTGTTAGTTAAATGCTGCAAAGTTGGATTTTTGGACTTCTAAGGGTAAGTTGATCAAGTTAAAAGGTGGTTTGTTTTACTTGGTCATGTCCAGATTGCCGGCTCTTCTTTTCATTTCCGCTCACCTGGAGGCCATGAAGGGGGTCATGTCCAACTCCAGTGGGAACGAGACGTAAGTAGTGATCTTCCTCCGGAGTTTGGCTGAATGTTCAAATCTCTGACACGCACACAAAGGAGCATTAGGTCTACGCTCTGGTTTATCGACACAATCGTTTAAAAAAGTATAATAACAATAAGGAAAAACTGTTTTACTTTAAGGTGAAAACAGGCCACGATAGGCAACTTCTTCATGGTTAACTGCTTGGTGGATTCCTGGTAACTATGGCAACCGCTGCACTTGATCTTGGCGCTGCTGCCGAGGTGCTCCGGTCTGGTGAACCTGACAGGTGACGGTTTATTTTTGGGTTTTTTCTCCACCCAAATCTGCACAGCCGCCCAACCCTTTCAGGAGATTTGGAGGCAAACACTTTGGATTTGGTGCCGGTTACCTGCGCAGACAGTCCATAAGTGTCGTGGCTCCAGTGGCGTGACTCTCCCCATTAAGTGCTGTCACATCTCCTCCGGGGCTAAGGGGCCAGAAAGGTGTGGAGGATCCGGGTAGGTCCAGGCTGATGTCCCAGAACGGGTCTATGGTTGTCGAAACACCACTGAGGACGCAACGGAGGAAGTGGAAAGATGTCAAGGAAACGTGACTTTACAGAGAATGACAGCCGGTGTTTTAAGGCAAAGACACAAAATAAGTCAAACTGGCCCAGCAGAAGCAAGAGCGTGTAAAGAAATTAAAACAAAGCTGCTTGAAGTTACCTACATGACAGGAAAATGAATAATGACAATAAATTTCACGTCCCCAACTCTCTTCTTTATAGCTGGTCAACTAATTTAAATACAAAATACAACAAGTATCATGAGTTATGTATATCTCTTAAATACTTTTTCAAGGTTAAAACACAATGGACTGGGACCCATCGGTTCAGAGGAGGCATGCTCTTGGTAATGAGAGGCCTTTAATTAGGCCATCAATTGTGACTGAATCAGCCCATAACGTGCACCAAGTTTTTAGTTAGTTTCTCTTATTCCTAACATTTTTTACACATTCTTCTACAACCTTTCTGTAAATGCTAAATAAAAAAAATAAAAGAGACATCTTAGGAATGCCCCACAGACGACACTCAAAGACTTTAATATGTTCAAAAGGAGTAACAGCCTCCACCAGGTGGAGCTAGAGAGCCGTGTCTCAGACATGCGGTCTTGATGCTGCTGCAGTGTAGCGGCTCAGAGTGCAGATGTGAGTGATAAATAACAGGGTGGATCACAAGGAGACGGGAGTTTTATTGGCAGAGCAGCGTCACCGCTTCCACTTTTCATGCTTTTATCTCTTCACTCCGAGTCTCCAACGGGGCGGGGCTTCATGCTTGTTATTCACACACACACACACACACACACACACACACACACACACACACACACACACACACACCACACACACACACACACACACACACACACACACACACACACACAGGCACTTACTGGCACACTTGGCAGGTGACGTCAGACTGCAGACCCCCTGTGAAGATTTGGTCAATGATGCAGTTACAGTGGTTTGGGTTGTTGGCTTTCTTCCCGTTGTCGTCTGCAGACACACAGAAACGTTCGCCGTGACTTCACAGCCACACACCCCACACCGCCCTCATGATCTACCCAAAGGGAATCTCTGTGTTCGTGTGTCACCTTTGCAGTGTCGGTGCAGCACGTCCAGCGCCGCAATGAGGAACTCGTGGGCGTCCTGCTGCTCGTAGCCGGCCAGGTGCCGGGCGTGGGTCCACACCAGGTGCAGCAGGCGGAATGGGATGTGAGGGGAGCGATGGCCTGAGTAGAACTGAACGAGGAAATGAGTCAACTTTCCTCTGGGTCTCCCCATCTTTGAGAGGCAAGTTAAAAAAAAAAAGATTGTCACCTCCTGGAAGAGTTGGGACATCTCGCACACGAGGCACGAGTTGCTCTGCATCTCGCACTTGTGTCGGTCGGACAGGAAGAAGTCGCGCAGCAGCGGCGTGTGCGTCAGCGCCTGGACGATGCAGTTCATGAAGCAGGTGTTGCCCAGGTTGATCAGACCGCGCAGGCCTGCAAGTCAACGGCATTGGTCATCAATGAGGAAATCATTCTGACGCACGCTTAGGGGAGCCGCCTGAAAGCCTCGGACTTTTCTGCTTTGTGTCCAGTCAGAACCATAAACCTCCATGTTTCACTGGGACGTTATGGGTTTACAAAGATCATTTACTCATTGAGCCATCAGGAATAAAACATCCTTTACATTGAACACATCGGTTTGTGTTAAGATAAATGACCTTTGTGCTCAAATTAAAGGCTGAAATACATTGAAAATAAATAATCACTCAACTTACTATAAGGAATCTTTTCTCATAAAGGTTTATTATAGAATTATTACAAAAAAGATGCAGTTTCAAAGACATTATATAAAAATTAAGCACTTTGCAAACCCACTGCTGCTACAAATCAGCCAAGATCGAAATCAGCAGGTCAGGTCCTAAAAACACAGGACCATTTCATCCTGTGTTGAAATGGTCCAGTCAAAGTCTGGTCTTAAATCATATCAACATCCAGCAGGAAGAGTTGAAAATATAATCCATCTAATCTGACTGATCCTGAGCATTTTGTTGGACGATAAATTGTTAAGTCATTGCGATAATTGACAATATTGTTGTCTTGAAAACATTTTCAAGTAATATAATGGAAATGGCAAAATAATGCAAGAACACATTCTCAATGTCTAATAAACTTTTATATTCTAATAATCATCTAAAACTGGAAGTCGAAGACATTTGAAATGTCCAAAATAAACAAACAAAACAACAGAAACAACAAATAAAATTTATTTTATTTGTTGCAACAGTTTTTTTTGGTAGAAAGAGAGAAAAGAGGAAAAACAATAAATCATGCACATGGAAATGATCTGAGTTCGTTTTTATTTATCATGCAATTAATTCATTTATTGCGACAGGCCAAGTTGAGCTATTTTTCAAGAAAAAGCATCTATGAAACCGCGCATCATTTCCATCCAGTACACAATTAAGCTTTACTTCGTAAAATCCCAATAAATCCATTGATGGTTGTAACTAAAAATGTCTATGTTTTCCCCCTATAAGCTGACCGCTTGCTGACTGAGGCGAGGGAGGTGAGGGGTGGGGGATCAGGAGGCGGCGTTCTCACTGATGAGCAGCCAGGCCTGGAAATCCCATCATCCTCTAACGGTGCCAGTGATGCTAATGGCGCTGGGCAGATCTCGGCAGGCTGCTGCGAGGTGTTAAAAGGTAACGGCCGGAGCAGTCAGCGTCGCACACGGCCGGACGGCTGCTGCTGTCCAACGTTCACCGATGCTGCGTCCTAATTACGCCCCTGACGTGATATGAGGACTCAAATTCACCAGCAATCTACACGCCGCATCGTCTAATGGTCTAATTCATTGAACGCGTCAGTGAAACGGCTCAATCCATCAGGTCCAACTGCTACACCAAAACCATAAAACCCCATAAATAAAACATCTCTGCTCTTTACGCCTCTGCTGATCTCCCATCTTGAAACAGAAGAGCTGGCAAAATGACAGAGACGGCAATTGGCTCCTGTGCTTTTTAGTGTGTGTGTGTGTGTGTGCGTGTGTGCAGAGGCACGAACCAATAGTACAGTTGGAGGTGATCCTCCTCCTCTTGGGATTGTGGCGCAGCAGCTCCAGCTCCCTCTTGGTTGGCTCCCATGTCGAGTACTTTTCCCCGATGCCTGTGGCGCAGAATGAAGGCGCCTTTTCAAAATTCATCGGCGTCTTTGATTTGAATTTCACTTCAGGACTTGTGGATGCAGGGTGATCTAGCGACGGCACTGTTGGACAAAGCTGTACAGTGTGACGGCGAATACTTTGCAGAGTCACACTCTATAGATTTTAGCGCAGTTAGCTTGTCGGGCTACGACAAGATGACCCTGACACTGATGCTGCCACCATGAGCAGCGTCGTTCCAAAATCGAACATAGAAAATCATCCTCACACCCACGACGTTTGGCATGTAGGTCTGAATGCTTCACTTTTGTCACAGCTGACCTTCTCGGAGTTTCCTCTACATGTAACTGATCATGACGCACCGCTACGACAACATGAAAGCTGCCACAGCTAAAAACCAACATGGCTGTGAGACTACTGTGTGCTGTGCTGCTTACAGGAGTGAAGCAAAATGAAGTGGAGGGAGAGAAAAGGCAAAAGAAAGGAACCTAAGGAAGGTTATGTTGAACGCACTTTCAGTTTCAAGCCTGTGAAAACGCCCTTAATGGTAGCATACGCTGCATTTGAACGACAGCGACGTAGTTAATGAATACAGTTTGGCCTTAATGTGTAATGTTTCAAATATGTTTTGAACAGAACGACGCAGCTTAATGTTGGGTCAATTCACCATGGAGACTCGTTTCTGGTTGCATTTTCAGATGAGCGGATTAAAATATTTTCAGAAGAAGAACCCGAGGAAGACTGGAGGTCACTTTAGATGGAGACGCTCGATGTTCTTTACCGAGATGCAGTACCATGAAGTAGAAACGATGGCGACCTGTTCTGCAACATACCTTGCATCTTCCAGGCTTTCCTCTGCTCCTCTTTGGCAATCTGCTCCATCTCTTTGTCATAAATGTAGTCTTGGCACATAAAGCAGTAAATTCCCCCATACAGCAGGTCGATGGCTGAACACACAGAGAGAGGAGAGACACACACAGACAGACAGACAAACAGACAGAGCACAATGACAAAAACCAGAGGACACGTTGGTTCATTGGACCGTGAGGAAGAGGATGTTGGTGCAGTCTGTGTGAGCCGCCTCAGATTACCAATCTACACCGCTTGGAAACGTGAAGAAGAAGAAACGGTGCAAACTGCACTTTAAGAGTTCACACAACAACTCCTTTTTCCTCCTCTACAGTATGCAGCTACCCGTTTGATGTCGCCATAACAACCAGACTGTGGGCCTCTCTCTCAACAGATGTCCTCTGCAGGTATGGAAAGTGGAGGGAAAAATGAAGCAAAACGGAGTGAAGGATACAGGAAAGGAGGGATTTTAGAGATCTGAGAAGAGAAAAAACGGTGGAAATAACCAAACGCCGACATTTCTCTGTGTCGAGAGGGTCACTGGGTAACCATGGGAACAGGAGGGCAATCGACGAGAGGATGGAAAAAAAAAAACACAGAAGGAAACTAACAACATAAATGGCTGAGTTAAAAACGGCAAACGAGGAGGATTATTTAATAATTGCCGGTTTCGTCGGGTTCGTTAAGGGCGGCTTAATTACTCCGTCCCCGCTCTGCTGAGATCTGTCCCTTTTCTCCGCCTTCTTTTCAACTATTTTTGTAGCATATAATTCAGCCGCCACCCTAATTAAACTCACAATTAGGCTCAGTGGGACGTGCACGTTTTGAACACAGCAGGGAGTCTTCCTGAGCGGGCTGATAAAGCTGTATAGGGAGAAAAACAACAACAGAAAAAACCCACTAAATCTTGGTGTCTCAGCTTCTGCCAACCCCAGATTTTGTCTTGGCACCATCAGCATTTGTCGGCGTGGTAAGAAAATTCACTTAGGGACGCCCCTGAAGAGATGCCCCCCTTGGCAGTGAGCCGTCATTTCCATTAATGTCAGTTTTTCCTTTTTCAAAATCCTTACAGAAAATTTGATAAGAAAAGTGATAAACAATATGAAAATTGCCAGCCCCAAGCTTTCAGAATTCAGCAGCACAAAATAGATATGAGCTAAATCAATCAAGATGCACTAGAATCCAGACTTCTGGCTTTGATGTAGCAAATAAAAAAAGAAAAAAAAAGAACCTTCATAAAAAATAAAAGTATTTAAACAAACAATCTAAAAACGACTGAAAACAGACGTCTTTTGAAATTGTATCTGATGTGCAGCCAGTATTAAAAGTCGACGTTGGGTCAACAATTAGTTGTTTCTAAATAGCGTCCAAGAAATTCTTGGCTCCTTGGAGCCTCTTCTGCTCAGATCTGGAGTCTTTTTCATAAAATGATGTTGTTTAGTGAGATGAAATGTTTTTTTTTTTTGTTTTTGTGTTTAGTTTTTTCCCATAACTCGCTGGAGGAACATCCAAATTTCTAAAATAGAGTTTCTGAAATAAAAATCTAATGTCATCGTGATTTGCCTTCCTAATAATGGCACCTCTGAATGAAGGTGTTAGGTGTAAATATATTATATTATCACATATTCCGTCCAATGGGAAACAAATACACCAGTGTCATTCACCAAGCCTCTCAAGGTTTATTTCCTTGTTGAAGGTGTTGCAATTATGTTGCACAAGCTTGCGTAAGAACTCCTAACTATGTCGCCCTTAATAAAATGTGTCAGCATACCACACTGAGGTCTGAGTTTGTTCAAACACACAACTAAAAGCTCTCTTTATACACAAACACACTCTGATGAACGAAAGATAAAACAGGGTTGAAAACGGCGGTTCTTAATACGGCTCACTGCTCAGGGTAGCATCTTGTCAGGGGCGTAGATGGTCTCTCATGTGGAGGGAAGCTTGTCAACTGCACCATCGATTTCCACTAAAAAACTATTTCATTTAGAATTCACATTAAAACCAGTAGATTTTCCACAATTTAATCGACGAATTTGTGTAACAAAAAAGGAAATCGTCTCAAGCTTGAGATTGGAAAAAGATTTCAGGACAATAACATGAAAACAAAACAAAACACAAAAATAAGTGACTGAAAACTGACCCCAATTTTGGGCATCTGGAGAACGCAGTCTGACGTTCAACTCTACCTGTCGTTTTCGAATAATAAAACATCAGTAATCTTTAGCAGACAAAATTTCTATTTTGAAAGATAATGGTACTTGATTATGAATACACATCCCACAGAGGCTAGTTGTATTTAGTCCGCTGCTGTAGCAGCTTGCTTGTCGTTTTACTTCCAAACTTTCCTGTCACCGTTCAACATTTTTAATACGAAAACACTATGGGGCAACTGGTGCACTGCCCCAGTCCACCAGGGGGAAACTCTGAGAAACCCTTACCCGGGACGTCAATGATTTTCCCAAATGTGCTCCGTTTGTCCCAACGTACTTAATTCCATACAACATCAGACGTTTAAAAAAGTAAATGGACACAAATCTGTGTTAGCTTGTGTGTGTGTGTGGGGTCATACCGAGGTTATGCCTTTTACTCTTGGCATGTTCGTGGATGTGTTTTTTGGAGAAGCAGGCGAAGAAGACACAGTAGAGGCAGGAGTGGAGTCTGTTGAGGTGGGCTCCGCACATGTGGCAGATGCATGACTTGGCCTGCAGAACGGAGAGGTGGGACACATAATGGTCACCGGATCGGAACAAAACATTGCGTTCTGTTTTTTTTTTTATGTATTGTGGTGAGCTTTTGTGCTATATGGCTCTTTATTCTACTTAATTTTTAACTTGATATGCTTTTATTAAAAAAAACAACAACACTATTCTCTTTTTGAAAAAGAAGCTTATTAGATTGTCAGACATACCTTGTATCTATACTGATTGCACATTGAGGGCTAACTGTGGCATATTACACGATGTGCATCGTTCCTTTTAAAATAAACAGAAAAACATCTGTTCTTCGAGTGTAAATACAGTGTGTTCAGATTGGTATGAATTATTATTGTGCTACACATTCATTCTGTTTGTCTGTGAAAAGAGGCAGAGAGGGCTGGGGGGGTGGGTGCATGCAGATGAAATGCTGGCATGCCAATGCATGGAAATGAGAAGAAATGCGGAATGCTGGAAACAGCAGGGAGGGCAAAATGAGAGGATGAAGGAGGTATTGAAGGCAAGAAGAGAGCGAAAGTGAAATTTTACGATTTCTGTGTGTTGATAACACAAGTGCTGCGTGGAGGGAGCGTCGGATCAATGAAAATAGATTCACGGCTGAGATGTGACGTAACACAATAATGCCGCAGGAGACACTGGAACTGAAATTGAGGAGCTTGAAAAAAAAAGAAGAAATAATAATGATGCAGAGAGAAAACAAAAAGATCGACTGAACCCCCAAAGTGAAAGCGGGAAGTAAAACTTGTTCAAAATGGGAAAAGTGGGTCATGGGGAAACCGAGGCTCGCTGACGCATGTGGGGATCAAAGGCTGTGCTGAGTCGTCTTAAAGTGGGATGTCGGAAAATATTGAGGAAATGATTCAACACATTCGCATCAGAGCTGGACCAAAGTTGCCAGGTCTTATGAGGGGGGACTACATTTGCCGATTGTCTGTTTCCCTGGGAGGAAAAGGGTGACTTTTATCACATCAAAACCACAAACTTCAATGTATTTTCCTGAGGTGTAATGTCAGTGACCTACTAAAACAAAAAAAAGGTAAATATTTCATCTCTAAACCAAAAATATTGATATGATGAAGTTGGCATCAGAACCAGTTTCATTCACCCTCTTGATTTTTTATTTTTTGCATTAGTTTCTCAAGTCTACCATATATTATTTACTTTGATTTGCTTTCAAATGATTTGTTTTTGCACTTTACAAAGGGAAAAACAAAAAAATGCACACAATTTTTTTTTCTACAGTTTATCATGCAAGTATGTTAAAAATACCTGTAACATTTATCTAAATGAAGTCCTGGGTTTTATACAACAAAAAGAGGAGCCACAAAACCGCCTCACGATTATTAATTTGACAATATATCGTAGTTAAATCATACTTGGCACTGCTCTCGGTTTAACGTCAAAATGACACCTCTAAACACTACTGTTTTTTTTTGTTTGTTTTGTTTTTCTATAAATTATTAGTTCAGTGGGTCTCGCAGCATGAGGGTTTCATTTGGATACTGTCCCATACAGTTTTTTTTTTTCTAGCTAAAATAATTAACGGAAAAGAAACACTGAAAATGATCTCAGACATACAGAGTTACTATCAAGCAAAGGGCGGTGCCGGGCTCCTCGCGTTAGAGGGTGAGCATCAAGCAAAGTACCCCAGCAACATCCACCGAGAACATGCAAGTGCAGAATGGACGCAGACCCCAGCCCCACACTGCAGAGGCGCACGTACGCACCCCAAACATCCTCACATCTGGAGGGCTTGATGTCTAAGAAGTGACAGAACCTCGTCGATCATCTCGTAGTGAAAATATTTTATTGGTGAGGGAAGACGGGGGAAGGTTTGGTTGATCCCCCCCCTCTACCCCAACACCACACAGACGAGGAAATACCGCTGTGTGCGCCGGTGGAAGGAAGTGGAGCCACAGCAGGCGCAGCGCCAACGCAAACAGATGCACATCAGCTCTCAGATCTAGTGTCCAGCCTAAGCTTTGATAGGAAGCTAATGTTTGGCGTGACAACTTTGCTTCAGTATGAGCTACACGTTGTGTCAAAGAGCAGAAGCCCCTGAGGGTAGTTTTTATTTATTTGAAAGCAATTTCTTTTTTGGCATTAGATGTGCCTCATTTGGAAGGGCGGGGAACTCGTCACACATTAAATACAAAAACTAAAAAAACAAAAAAAAACAACCAAGCAGGTTGTGTCTCACAGTGGGACGCTTGTCTCCCCTCCACTTGTTACCTTGCGTTTTCTGGTCTCGGCTGAACCGCTCCACACGAAACACTGATAAATGAGCCTCAGGTTCTGCTTCCAGTTGTCCACTTTGAAGCTGTTCACATGGGGGCAGCCTGCGGGACTCATGGCAGTCACAGCATCCGGCTTTACCGCCTCCTCCGAGCGACGAACCTGTTCACAAGCCGCCCCCCGCCGCCCCGGTCCGAACGGCTTTTTTTTTCTCTCGCCCCCTTTCTTCCAGCTAGCTCGCCAGCTTCGTTTATCCAACGAATGCTGCGTACTGGCTAACTGGCCATGTCCCGGTAGCAGGAGCTGATGCACACGCAGCAGCCAACATGGAGGCGAATGTTTACACTGCGGCCTGTTTGCAACTTATCATTGACGCTATTAAAGCCAGGACTGCGCAGCACGTGAAGCTCTTCAAATTCGCTCAATTACATGTTAGCGCGCCGGCTAAAGTTGGTTAGCACTGGAATTTCAACACAGCGACTGTCGTCAGGACCCTCCTTAATAATAGCGCCGAGCCAACCAGAGCCGCGTTCTCTGCGTGATTGGCGTGTGCCAACGTTCGGCTTTTTTTCTTCCAGGTCCCGCCCCTACGCAACGGGTGCTGGGTCGTGATTGGTTGGCTCTCCCCCGTGAACCGCATCCGCTGTTTTGGAGGTGTTCTTTGCCTGCGCGCGCTCTGCGACAGTCAACCGGATGATGATCTGGGTGGAAATTATGAGGCGGCGTGGGAGGAGTGTTTTTGCCGGCGGAAAACGTAAAGAGCCAACATGTCAGTTTACTTCGTTTCAAACCGAAGGTTCCCACACATTTATATGCAACTTCTTTTAATATACTGGCTTCCAGAACCAACTTTTCAGAGTTGTAATTGTTAAATTATAAAAAAAAATAATAACAATAGAAAAAGTGGCTCTCCGATTTTATTTATTTGCACTTAAGGTTATTTTATATCTTAGTCATATGCTCGAAGTGGGTGTGTCGCCCTTCTAAAAGGGATATCCAGGGTGTCCCAGATGGTGTATCGTTAGAAATGACATACAAACCCCACTCGTGAGCACAAAATTTCCCTGCCGGGTGAAAAATGGTGCGCACCCAATGAGAAGAGAGTCAACCTCAAAGCTACAACCAAGACTGATCCGCTAAGAAATGATGGACGCTAAAGTAGAGCGTGTAGAGAAAATTAACCAACACCTGTATTCTTAAACAATTTATTAACAGATCCACAATCGCAATGCTCAAGTTCCCAATTGATAAAGACAGATTGGTTATATCTGTTGACTTCAAGATGTCAAAACAGTGTCTTGTGCAGTGCTCTAGCGACATCTAGTGGATCTGGCCTAAAAAAATAAAATAAAGAGAAACAATCCCCCCCAAAAAAAGAAAGAAAGAAAAAAACAGTGCACCAGATTGTGTTCCGACTTCTCCACAGTGTCGAGCTTCGTCGAGGGTATGTCCGTGTGTACAGCTTCGCGTATTATGATATCTACAATCTAACCAAGGAGTGAGAAGAAAACGATCAGCGCGGTTTTTACAAAATGTAGAATATAATCATTTATTCCTCGTCAGCCAAAGATGCTTCACTTCATTCGTAATGCCCCTCCAGTTACGCCCGTCATGCAGAAGAACCCAAAAAACAAAACAAAAAACAAAACAAAAACTAGTGAGATTTATTCACACACGTTTGGAACAGATAAGTCCAGTTTTTATTGTTGTGGTTTCTGTCAGCTTAGCTGTGGCGCTCCTGAACATTGATAAATAAAACACTGATGAAAATTGGATTTTTTTTTTCTTTTTTCTCTAAGGATCTGTTATCCTTAAGACACGGTGAAGTAAGAATAACCAAATTAATCATCATTCCACACAATTAGGTTTTTTTCCTTGACCAATGTCCTGACGCAACAGAATGTTTTCTTTTCCTCTTTAAAAAAAAAATCCAACTCATCCCGGGAAGAACGTGTTGGGGTGGCTGTGGCGTTCTGTCCCTGTCCAAGGCCCCCTCATGAATAACTCGACGTTTTGCTACCGACGTCGTCCTCCTGCGATCCCATACTCTGCAGGAAAAGTGAAGAAGAAGAAGCAGCAGCAGCAGCACGGGTCAGAAAGGTTTGCCACGAAAACACAGAAGCCACATCTACGTTCTTCGAACAGAAACAGATTAAAAGTGGGGCTTTTCTTTTTGACACATTTTGCAGAAGAAACGCTCTCAGATTTTGCCACGGTTCAAATATAACTTTGACTGTCCCGTCCAAACCATGCTTGACAGCAGTGGGTTTTATTTGCTTTTCACGAGAGAACTCACTCAGATTCCTCCAGTTCTTGTACAGTTTGTAACCTACGGCTGTGATTTTAGTTTTTTCCGATTTCTCTCTTAGTACTGGTGCAAAAATAACATTCAAAACTTGTAACTTTTATCAAAGAGTTGTCGGAAGGATTTCGTGTAGCAGCCTGTATTAGAGTGGTGTGAAAGAAAGCTCTGATAATTCTGCTGTTGTCACGATAAATTTCACTGGACGATAAACTGTCCCAGAAGTTATTGCGATAAACAATAATACTGTTCCTTTGAGAGCATTTTCTTGCTTTATAATGCAAGAACACATTTTCAGTTTCAGATTAGACATTTTAAGCTATATCTAACATTTTATTTTAGCAATTAGCAGTGCTACCATTACCAAGCCAAAAGTATGCTCCATGTATTCCGCAAATAATGAAGATCGGTATGTTAACTCTGCTTTTTAAAAGACTACAACAATTTCTAAATCCAGCATGTTCTATGACTGACAGAGGGGAAAAGCTCAAATAAACAAAATGGCTTCTTTATTGAAATCTGCTTCACCTTCCTGGTCTGCTGAGAAAGTCTTGCTATTCAACTGCAGCCTGAATGAACCACACGTCTCAATATGTTGCAGAAAACATGCTTACTTACTGCATTGAATTATATAGCATTTTTAATTAGCTTAGCGTTATTAACATTCATATTCAACTGTTAGGTTACGGAAAACACAGGTTCTCACGACTCTCATTCATAATATGCCGTGCGTTTAATTTTATTGTTTTTATTCCAGCAATAAGTAGATAAAGATACTATTTAAAACTGCTGACTATAAAAGTTAGGCAGGAATGCCTGGCAATGATGATGCAAAAGCTTAAACACACACTTCCTTGTTTGAAACTGCAGTGTAGTAACCTACTGGGTTTTCTGTGATCTAAGATGTCAGTTCAGCAGTAGTGAAAATATATGGGAAGCCAAACGCGTCAAAAATGCTGTACTTTGTTGTGTCTGGTAGTAAACACTAGTCAATTGTGGTTATTAATAGGAACATGGTATCAGTCATATAGGGAGTTGGGATTGTTGAAATATTTTATTTTTTCTTTGGTGGACCAAAATTTATATGGTGTAAACTTATGGCCAAATTAAATGAATCAACCAATGCTTGTTGTTTCTACTTTATCTGATTTTACTACAAAAGTTAGTTCAAATACAAATATAAAGACATTCAAATATGTCATAATATTTAAGTTTTTTTTATCCTAAATATAAAACCATAACATGTCATGTTATCATGTCTCCTAACATGACATGTATGTTAAAACTATTTTGATGAAAATGTTGACCATAATTATTATGGAAGGCAGTAATTAGAGTCAACATTTATTTTACTGATCATATTTAGACCATCTTGTAAAATGCTCATTTTTATTTATCAATTATTCTCACAGTACTATCATATATTTTGCATGAACACAAGACATTAGTTATAATTAAAGCAGAATTCTGCAATAAAACACTCACCTTCTGCACAAACTGTGGGTTTACTGTAATTTCTTGATCCATAGACTTTAGTTTCTCATCCAGCTCTATACATTTCAACATCTGTAAATAAGAATAAAGAAACAGTGATATGGATTATAGCAGCTTTAACAAGGATATTAAAGAAAACCCACAGGCAGATTTAAGGTTCACCTCTTGATCTATTTTGTGGAGCATTGCTGGGTTGTTGTATTTTTCGGGGTTGTCATGGAAGCAGACCATACCGTCCTTTTGGTTAATGCTAGCATAGATCTCGCCATCTTCAATCTGAAATGCACATTTTTATTTTTTACATGAACCACTCGGAACAGAGCTCCTTTTCAAACTCCTAAAAAGAGAAAATGTTTGAAACAGCTCAAAGTTGTTTTTGTGTGCAGACTCACCATGTGTAAGATGTATTTCTCTGCTTCCTGGGGACCTGAAAGCTGCACTCGACTCGCCATGTCTTGCAAAGACAACGTCAGGAAAGTCTGCGGGGGGATCGGACGAAACAGGAAGTCATTGGAGACCCGCTGAAGCCGTTTTTGTGGAGAACAGCGACTTTACTTTACTTTGAGTTTTAGCATTCCAGCAGCAAAATTGTAAGTGACATACTTGATTAAAGTACATTTGAATTAAAACAAGATTTTGGGAAATCAGTGCAACTGAAATTAAGTGAGTGTTGATTTTATTCCTGTTGTACTTTTGGTAATTTACTGGTAGTTTTACTATTGTATTTCTTTTTTTAATCAAACTTAATTTTCTTTTTTTTTTTTATTATATATCTATTTATGATGTTTTAATTATTGTGAAGCACTTTGGTCATCTGAGGTAACTGTTGAAACCGTAAACCTTCAACGTATTTCCAGGAGTAGCACAATATTTTTACCCCTAAATAAAATCAAACATTAAACATTAATCGTAGTACCTTAAACTTCAGAACCCAGAATTAACTCATAAAATAACAATTTATAAAAAAACAACAAAAGACTATGCAATCTAAACTTTATTGTTGGTTAATCCAAGTACCTGATTTAAGTACATTTTTGTAACTTTGAACATTTTTACCATGGAACACACAGTGGTAACTCATTTTCTCACTAGCTGTGCTTTGTCTCATGCGATTGAAATCTTCCTGCTGGTTTTGTTTCGTTTTATTTTCCTCCAGCTTCAGAAGAAGACTTGTCTTCAGGGCATGATTGATGGCCGATGATTGGATATTCAAATCAACTGCTTATTTTATGCTTCTACCATACAGTTTAGCTTCATCTCATTCCATTTAAAACCCGATTTAATCAGTGTGCAGTTCCAAAATTAAGACAATTAGTCCAAGTTAGTCACTCAGAGCTCCTACCTTTGTTAGCCTCTGAATGTTCTTCTTGTAGAGGGAAGAGAGGCACTGCTTGACCAGGCCTGTGTTGTTGTCTCGTGTGAACGTCTCGTTGTGTTTGTTGACCAGGCTGCGCAGCTCGGCGGGGTTGTTGGTGGAATAGACCTGAGCCAGCTCATGGTAGGCGTTGCTCAGGGGCTGTGGATGGAGGTGGAAACCACGGTTATAGCAGGAGAGGAAAACGGTATGCTCAGACCTAAACTGGCTGATATAATTTTGTCACTTGCAAAAGTATTCATGCCCCATTTTTCACCTTTCAACCACAAACTTTATGGATTTTATGCGATGAACCAAAACAAAAACATGGAGTTTTTGGAGTTCAAGCTCAGACTGCACCAGCGTCGTGATCCAGTTCCTACCTTGATGAAC